ACCGCAGTAATGGCGCCTTGGCCGGCCGGGCGACAGGCATATGGTCGTCATCATCTGATTGCCCGCCATGCAACGTGGTCCCAGGAGATGTCTGGTTATTGTCGTCGGGGGCGCTTGAGGGGCGTCGAAACATGGGCGCTGGTGAGGAATCGGACATGCGTCTCTGTATGTTGGATCGAAGTGGCAGCTGGTTATGAGCAGCAGGATGAGAGGTCCCGTTTGTCGCGACGCGCTCGTTGCCATCTTCTGGCCTCTGAGGATGGACTTGTGACATTGTGACTGAACTTTGACGAGCTGGGTTGTTCATTGTGTGGCGGGATGGTGATGTAGCAGTTGATGACGGAAAGCCGGGCCTCGCGTAACGGCCAGAAGCGGGAGTGGGAGCAGAGGGCTGTCTCTGGCCAAATTCTGCAGAGCCGGGGTGGGAGGCGTGAAGAGAAACAGCAGTCATGGTACGCGACTAGACGAGAGCGAAGGTCATGGTCCTCGGAGGGTAGAGTCGGGTTTTCAAGGCCGCGACGAGGCCGGGTAGGCGATGAGTCGAGAACAGAGCGGCGGTGTAACAAGTCTGTAAGTCTGTAAAAGAGCGAGCGTACGGTGATATGGAGGTGATGTCGGCGGCCCAGGTAGATGCGCTATATCAGGCGGCACAACCAGAGCTGTATTTCCTGCAGAGGAGGGGACCGATCTGAAGGCTAGGGAAACGCAGAGGTTCGGATGCGCGTGGGGTAGGCGTGCGATTGACTGTCGGCTGTAACGAAGATGCGAATCTGACCAAGGTAGCCTGGTGGTAGTAGTAGTCGGTGGCAGTAGTGGTGCCGTCGTGACTCTCGTTGGATGATGCCGGTCTTTACGCTGTAGGTTTGAGAGATGGGATTGGGTCAGTCAGTCTAGCTAGACTTTTATCAGAGGCAGCTGCGTGCGGTAGATTCCCACTGCAGTGGGTGAAGTGCGCTTCCGCTTGTGTAACCAGAGCCTACCAAATGTCACTGCCAGCAAATTGCCTGTGTCTCCTCTAGTATACCGAGAATATTGCAATAGAAGTTGGTGAGACTTGGGTGATACGAAACGACACGCAACTCCTACTGCTTTGAACTGGCAATGCCGGCCGTGATGATGTCGGCAGAGGGAACCGCTTCCTTGTGTGTTGTCGTGGTGGGTGCGGGTGGTGGTGGTGGGTTGATGCGGGCCGTGGAGCACAGACGTGTGGATGTGGATGCGCTGCCCATCAGCCATACGCTACTTCCATGGGGGTTTCTGGGTGCCAAGGCTTCCTTTCCAGAGGGGAGGACTGCGGGGGGGAGTGCCCGTTTCTCGGATACTACCTCTACCTCTACTGTGTAGTCGTCGTACCCTAGGTACCTATCCAAGGTAGAGTGAAGACAGTGAATGGTGACCTGTACGGTACGTCGGTCGGTACCTACCTACTACAGGTAGTGTACTAGGCAGGCTGAAGGCCTTCTTGGCATCTCCTACAAACAAGACCAGCGGAGGTAGAGGTATTGTGTCACCACAGAAGGAGGCACTGAACGCACATGATGATGCAGTGCACATGGTGGTCCATGCTTTCAGCCTCACCCCCCTCGTTGGTACAGTACGCTAAGCTGCATTGCACCGCAACGTTGCTATTCTCCGTGGGACTTTTCATTCATTATCGATATGTATTGCCCGAGTTAAGAAACGGTTCGTTGACTTGACTCGAGGCCTGCTTCGAGGATCTCACAAATCCATGCGCCGCCTCGGTCTGGATCCGATTCCCGTCGTTAGCCAATCACCTCTTCATATGTATACTGACTGCGCAGGACGGATTATCATCAGTTTGTCAAGCTTTGCGAACATGGAAATCTCCTCTCGGTTGGCACGTTCTCAACGATCGAGCCGTATGCATTAGTAGTTGTCCTATGAGTCCTCTCAACACAAAATCGGCGAAGCTCACTCGACCGCAAGCCACGCTGCCGGCAGACGCCGTTGTTCCTGCTCACCTGCTTGTGTCTTGATGTTGACCACTTCGTTCCGTATCCTAGGATGGTCTAACAAGATGGGATGGGCCGCAGTGGCATTCACACCTGAATATTCAACATAATCTACCTTGGATTTATTGGCTGTGGGAAAAAGGTTCAAGTTGCATTGATCGTGCTTTTGCATGAACTCCAATTTCAAAAAATATCGGGTGGAGCCCCGGCCATTGGGGATCGCTGAGCAAAGGGTCTGTGCGCTTCGGCCCTTTGCCGCGGAGCGGGAGCTTCACGTGAAAACGTCCGGAACGGGAGCCGGCCACCCCGAGGACACCTGCTCCGAAGAAGTCCAAACGAGTTTCTGCATTTTGTCACGACATCCAACCAACCCATTCACATCAATACGGACACGGGAAGTCACCTTCTTGGAGATATCTCTTTGCATCCGTACGTATCGGGTCCGGTGGCATGTCGATTGGTTCTCCGCATCGGCATCAACTCTTCCGGCCCCTAAGCTTGATGGAAGATGCTTGCAGGAAGCGAGTGCGGGATGGTCTGTGCGTGGAAATAAGAAACATGAAACAACCAACGTTGGGTCCACGCTATCCTGTTGGACCCGAGATATGACCCCAGAGGAATGACACGCTTGAGGCTCAATACATATTCGTTGCGGAGAACTTGAATCTCTCCTTGTGCTTTTGGTGTTGGTTACAACCTACTATCCATCTTCACCGTGTTTGTATTTCCAGGACAAAAAAGTACCGTAGAAACGGTAAAACTGACAAGTACAATGTGCAGGAAACGAAGGGTTAAAGGTCTTGTCAGCTGCGTTTGGCGGCCCTCAATGAGTATGTGCGTGGCGGTCGAACACCTTCTACCCTGCATTGTATATCGACATCTTGTCGAGTTTTTACTGTACTTCCTTGTACTCACGGACCAGAGAGAGAAGATAGCAGTAATGTTTGGCCGCATAGTTGTCGGAATTCGATCTCATCTCAACTAGTTAGGTGTGCGATATAGCTTTGCATTATTTCGACGGCCTAACACCATCTACCAAGTTGGACGCGTAAAATCACCACTTGTGTTGAATCATGATGTGCCTGACAAAAGATCAGACCGTTAACTTTTGACAGTCGGGTCACAGGATGGCGTGGTATTATCCCAAACACCTCGAAAGTCACAACACTATCGGACTTGGAAACAGTGTCGTACCATTGCAGGACGGAAGTGTGGTCTTTTATTGGAGACCGTTTCGCTCCAAACAAAATAAGACCCGGTTGAAGGGTGGTGAGAAAGTGCGGTATGTGCTTCAACTGGACTGGAATGAACTGGACTGGAACGTGATTTGGAGGTCGCAACGTAAGTAACCCCGCGCATCTTTTTCCCACGGAAGAGTAAAACTGAAGTATGGGGACAAGATGCGGTACGGAATGAAAGCACTACTGCTGCCTTCATCTGACTATGCATGTCTTGGGGCAGGTATCAGTATAAAAGTTAGTACTTATACTTTTGCAATGTCAAGCTGTTACTGGCCGAAGAATGTTGGACATGAATATGAGAGTCGCAGGTGAATACATGACCAGGTAATTACACGTTTAGGTTGCTACCTTGGCAGAAGACCGAAATTGTTTAAGGATTGTAGAGTGGAAGTGAAGTGCTTGCATCAGTGGAACTCCAACAATGGAAGCGTCCGGGAACCCCCTTCCCCTGGAGCCCCTTTGTTCTCTTTCTTCCACAAAGTCTCCGCTTCTTCGCTGGAGGCTGCTGTTCCTAAGCTTTCCATTGGAAGGTTTTGGTGGCCGCTTTGGAAGGTTGCCAGGGTTATGGTCAGATTCCCCATCTCAGCAGCATTCGCGGCGATGTGGTCCTGACGGAATGGACGGCCATTCACACGGACGGCTGCAGCCTGCATCTTCCACTTGCTGCCGGGCTGCGCTAACATCTTGTCCGTCAGGTACGGATTACCTAGGTTAAGTTAGTATGTATAGCAGCTGCAGGTGCAGCAGATGCCCCTTTGCCTGGGTTGCTGGTTCCATTTCATCAGGTTGTGTTAGTTTGTGCATCACACTTGGGCAACCGTAGAGTAAAAGTAAAAATAAAAATAAAAATAAAGGATTGTTCTCCTCTCCTCTTGTTGGTTACTACCTATCCGTCCACATCCTGTTGGCGCTTTCTTGGCGGTCCCTCCAATTATCAACAAGTATATGCCGTGGTTCATATCATCATCTCAATCAATAACAGACGCCCTTCTTTTTTCGGGCGGCGCGTGCCAGCCCGCTGAGTGCTTATGTACAGGGACCCCCCTCCCGGCCCCCCTAAAAGGAGAACCGACCTGGATGAGGATGGAAGAGTGGAAGTGACCTGAACGCCAAACAAGCTTTTGGGACCCGACAAAAAAAGCAAGAGTACGTTATTTTCGCTGCGTTACAGCACGCCGTGGTGCCATCTTTTTGCCATTTACGAGCATTTGCTAATTGCCAACATCCCCGTCATTTCAATTCAGCAGAAATTCGATCGCTTGTTTACCCCCCGGCTCCACCTCCATTTACAGACGACAGGCCGGCCGACCGATGCTTGCCCCCAGCCATCTCCAAAATCGACGAGCCTTCAACTCCCTCCTCCGTCAGCGTCAGTGAACTTGTCGCGGTCCACGGTTCACGGTCACGGCTTACGGTCACGGTCCAGTGTCTTCGGTGTTCCTGGTGTGCTTTCATTCAGATTCTCCCAGCACGAGCCTCCTGTTTGATTGTAAGCGTCTGCTGCTACTACGCGCGCGCTCGACCCCCCCGCTGTTCGCTGGTACGGTACGGTCACGGTCACGCCATAGATTACCACGACCTCCCTCCCGAACCCCAGAGTCGCCCAATTGCCCGTGCGGCTGCTGTGGGACGCCCTGAGCTCCCAAGTCACGACGAGACGAGCGAGTAAAGACGAACACCGACCTCGACGCTCTCCCTTCGGCCTATTTTTTCCCCGACAACCTGAAGGCCACGGCGAAACCAACTTGTCGCCGCTGCCCCCAAAGGGCGGCCCCAGAGACTAGACATGGCCTTTCTTTTCAAGTCCAAGAAGAATCACGACAGAGGGCCAGGTAGCCGAGATGGTATTCCGGGGTCGGCTTCGTCAACCCAGAGCGCGACTGCGCGCGTCAGGGACGAGAAGGGCTCCCGATCAACACCTACCGGTAGCTTGAACTCCCTCGACAATGACGGTAGCGTAGGCAGCCCGGAGCAGCAAAACTATGGCCGCCCTCGAGGCCAGACCCTCGAAGGGCAGCATCAACATCAACAACAAGGGCCCTCACAGATGCAATCCCGGGAACCCCCGCAACAGCCGCCCAACGATCTTCCTGTAAGCCATGTTTGCCATCTTCACATGTTGAATCCTCGTCATGTGCTTTGCGCCAGGGTATTGGTCGATATGGGATGAATTTTCCTAACACTTTCAATCAATAGTTTCGCAATGGCGCGAACCCCAACCCAATGCCAATGGCAAACCCCAACGCTTCGCTTTACCCATGGTCGCAAAGGAGGTTAACGTATACGACATCTCAACCGAGCCCCTTTCCCCGATATGGCGCCGCTGTCAATTCGGTATCGTCTAAAGAGGGCGATATCTATGTGATGGGCGGCTTGATCAACAGCTCGATGGTCAGAGGCGACCTATGGATGATTGAGGCTGGTGGGAGTATGGCCTGCTACCCTCTTGCGACGACGGCAGAGGGTCCTGGCCCAAGGGTTGGACACGCCAGTTTGCTGGTTGGGAACGCGTTTATTGTGTTTGGCGGAGACACCAAGATTGATGAGTCCGATGTCCTTGATGAGACGCTATACCTCCTGAATACTTGTAGGACACCTATCGGCGGCTTTTTCCTCTTCAACAAGGTTTTTGCTAACCACTTTTAGCTACGCGACAATGGTCAAGAGCTCTGCCCGCCGGTCCACGACCTGCGGGTAGGTATGGCCATACTCTTAATATTTTAGGATCCAAGATCTACGTCTTTGGTGGCCAGGTAGAAGGATACTTCATGAATGACTTGGCAGCTTTCGACTTGAATCAGTTACAAATGCCCAGCAACCGCTGGGAAATGCTGATAGCTACTACAGAGCCCGGAACTACCCCTCAAGGCAACGTTCCTCCTGCTAGGACAAACCATTCCATGGTAACCTTCAATGACAAGATGTACCTGTAAGTCCAGCCCATTCGCCATATCACTGGTGGTATAGACACTGAATAGAACTAGGTTCGGAGGCACGAACGGTTTCCAATGGTTCAACGACGTTTGGTGCTACGACCCAACGACCAATGCCTGGACTATGCTCGAATGTATTGGATATATTCCTGTCCCGCGCGAAGGTCATGCGGCCGCCATTGTTGACGATGTCATGTATATTTTTGGAGGGCGTACCGAGGAAGGAGCGGATCTTGGTGACTTGGCGGCTTTTCGGATCACCTCTCGCCGCTGGTATACCTTCCAGAATATGGGCCCTTCGCCCTCACCTCGATCCGGTCATAGCATGACGGCAGTTGGCAAGACCGTTGTGGTTGTAGGTGGAGAGCCAAGCTCTGCTACGGCAGCTGTTAATGATCTCGCCTTGGTTTACTGTTTAGACACGACAAAGATCCGATACCCACCTGATTCCGCAGGCAATCCTGGTGCCCCAAGAAACGCGGTAAGGCGGCCAAGCAACGCGACTCCTCCATCTTCGAACCAAAACTTCCCGCCCCGAGACGGTTCGTCGGGCCCTCCTGATCAGAGACGGTTGGTCGGGCCACCCGGGGATGCCGGCAACACTACCCCTCAGAACGGATTCAGAGGCCCCCCGAATCCAAACGACCAGATTGGCCCTAGAGGCCCCCCTAATGGGCCTCCCAAACCTATGAGACCTGGTCCGCCAATGGGTCCAGCCGGCCCTCCCCCTCAAGGCCAACCTCCAAGGCCGGGTGTGAATCCAGCAGTCGCCCGAGCAAGGAACGCCTCTTCAGACAGCAGGGCGGACTCTTATCAAGGCTCCCCTACACAGTCTCCGGTCGTCCAACAAGGTCCGGTTTTCACCCAAAACGAGAGTTCCGGGTCTGTGGGAAGACATACCCCAACTCAGAACGCACCACGCTCTGCATCGTCTGCGTCACGGCAGACGGAACCGCCTGCTGCTGAAACACCCAAGTCCAAGCCTCTGAAGCAAGCCCGCACGCAAGGATCGGTCGACAGCTCAACGGATGCAAGCCTGAAGCAAGCAGCCAATCGTTCTGCTTCTCCGCCGGCGCCTACTGCGAGGCTGAACAGCAATTCTATCAACCGAAGGTCATCGCAGCGGAATTCTCAAACAGTTGTACTTCTGAAGGAGCTAGACGCAGCAAGGAATCGCAATGCCTGGTATGCTTCGGAGTTGGAGTTGGCTCGTAAAGCCGGTTATGTGCCCACCGCCTCGATGAGCCCAGCGCTGGACCAACGAGCGGCCGAGACGTTTGACGACGAGGACAGGCCTTTAATCGAAGCTTTACTTGCCATGCGCACTGAGCTTGCCAATGTACAAAATTCAGTAGACAAACAGGCAGTTCTCGCTGCGAAGCAAATTGCCGAAGCCGAACGACAACGGGATGCTGCTATTCAGGAAGCGATTTATGCCAAGGCCAAGCTGGCAGCGCAGGGAGGAAGTGCCAGGAGCACACCCCAACTCGATATAGATAAAGATGGCAACGATCGTGTGGGTGAGATGAGCAAAAAGCTTGCCCAAGCCTTGAGTATCCAGAAAGATCTACAGGACCAAGTGGAACGCCTAAAAATCGACCTCGACGCCGAGAAGAAGGCCAGGAAACTGGCGGATGATACGGCCAGTGCTGCGCAGAAAAGGATGGCGGACCTGGAGCATTATAAGCAAAAGAATTCCGGCGAGGTAGAGCAACTCAAAGCTGAAATGCATATGCTACAACGGCAGGCAAGAGAGGCTGAAGTCGCAGCGTCGGAATTCGAATCTACGGCACAAATGCTCCGTCTTGAGAAAGATGAACTGGAAAACAAGTACAATGAGGCCGTCGGTAACTCTAAGCAAAGCGTCGAGACATTCCAGTCACTGCGGGAAGCGGTAGCTGCAACAACCGAAATGAGAGAGACGCTGGAAAGGAAACTCGATGAAGAGCGCGCACTCCGGGAGGAGATTGAGGCCACGTTGAACAAGCTCAAGGCTGAGCGTGAGGTTCAGGCTGCTGAATTAGCTACAATCACTCAGCGCCTGAGAGATGCTGAAGAGCGGGCCGAACGCCATGCCAACGAGGCACGTGTCCACCGTCAAGCCGTGCTTGCCGGTTTGGATAAGGTGCCGACAATGGAGAACCGTAGCTTAGGCAACGGCGACATTGACCGCACATCTGCCCTTCAAGGCCAGCTAAGCGCCGCTAATGCGCTGGTGAGGAAGTACCAGCAGGAGGCAGATTCTGCCTCAGACAAACTACGCAGTGCAGAGGAACGCATCGCTGGACTTGAGGCCTATCAAGAACAAGCCAGTCGTGAAGGCGTCTCGATCCGCAGGCAGTTGCAGAGTGCCCTGAGAGAAACCCAGTTCCTTCAGGCCGCCAACTCGGATCTCAAGCAGCAATTAGCCAAGCAACAACTAGAAACCAACGCCGTCCTGGTCCAACACAACACGCTCAAAGATATTCTCACTGAACGTGGTATTTCACCTACCAGTGTAAACCGGCATAGTCGACTCGGCAGCCCGCGTGAGGGTTCCCCGGAGGCGATGCGCTTGCGCGAACTTGAACAGCAACTTGCCGCGGCGCAAGCTGCGCACGAGGAGACAAAGGCGTCAGCGGCAAAACAAGCGCAGGAAGCGGAGACGACGTATCGTGACAAGCTTGCCCAGCTCGATAATGACTACCAGTCAGCTGTGCACTATGTCAAGGGCACCGAGAAGATGCTTAAACAGCTTAAGGAGCAGCTGACACGCTATAAGACGGAGAACTCTCGCCTCAAGGAACAGATTGTTGAGCTTGAAGACAAGGTCGGGGGCGAGACTGGCGGCAGCGGCGCACCTGCGGATTGGGAGACTGAGCGCGAATCGCTGCAAGGGCAAGTCAGCGAGCTTCAAGCTGAGCTACAGAGGACGGCATCTCAACTCGATCAACAGCTAAAGTCCCTGCGCGAAGAGCTTGAAGATGTCCGCCAGGAACGCGATTCGGCGGCTCACGCCAGCGACGACGCCAGCCGACGTCTTGAAGCGACCAAGAAAGACCTAGAGGAGCTACAGCACGAGAATGCCCTTCTGGAGCGCCGCGCTCGGGATGCGGAGCAGAAGGTCAGCACACTGCTTGATCAAGTAGAAATGAGCGTCGACAACTACCGCAGACGCAGCCGGCAAGTCCCGAACGAAGCGATCGGGGCTGCGGTGGCCCCAGTGGGTCCTTCAAATGAAATAGGACATGTCAGGCATGAGTCCAGCGAAGCCGAGAGTTTGTACGGGCCAGGACCCGATGCTAGAGATAGCGTCGCGCTGGATCACCTGACAAGCGAGCTCGAGACGTTGCGGAGCCGTTGGGAAACCAATAGTAAGAACTACCGTCACAGCAACGCGTTTGATTTTGAGGGCCTCGGAACTCCTACCGCATCTCTTCCCAATCAGAAGAGTGACGGTACCCTCGGTCTGAGCGAAAGTATGGCGGATTGGAGGAAGAAGAATTTCGACGATAGTCACCTTGATGATGATGAGCATCCACCGGCCGGATCTGCCAGATGAAAGAAAGGAATGCAAGGAAAGAAGCTTAGCCATATAGGAAAAGCTAAGCGTGTAATTTGATGGCGGCGGCAATTGCACCCATCACACCAGCAACCAAGCAGTCTATCAGCGAAATCTTTTTTTTTTTTTTTTTTTTTTTTTTTTGGGGGGGGGGGGGGGGGGGGGGGGAACACTATGCCATGAACGAAGACGTCTTAATGTTTGATGGCTATTTTTGGTAGAGATGTGCTTAATTTTCATACGTTTCTTACTTTTTCGATAATTTGATGGTGATGGGGAATGGAAGGAAATGTCATTTTGCTTGAAATACCCGAACTGTCTCTATACAGCTACTTGTTCTCGTGCTTTGGCTGCTCTGTGCTGCTGTGACATTCATTCTTGCCTACCTTATTGTTGTTGTCTTATTCGAGACATTAATCTGTTTGTAATCTTGATGGGGATTTTAATTCCGTCGATGTTCTATGGAGTTAAATGGCAAATATCCAGGCTGTTCGGGTAGTGATCTTGCTTAGAGTCTAATGGTTTATCTTGGGTGACAGGATGTTAGGAAAAGAAATTCAAAAGAATAATCTTACGTTCACGATGAAGACTCAATCCTTTATAGACAATTCGAGTCTGACGTTTCAATGTTTCCAAAACGAAATACAGTTGACACTTCCAAGTCGTTAACGAACCTGGAAACTGCGTTTGATAACAGAGTTTGTGACTGACTACATGTAGGCCCATAACTTACCACATGTCCAGGAGTGTACAAGTAAACTCATAGTCAAAAAATACTGTCCCCCCTTTACCATACTGGATATGTGCGGAAGGGGGACAGTATTTTTTTGACTAGGTATGATTGTAGCTTAGCTAAGACCCCGGAAGATATCTCTATTCTTAAAATTTTGTGTTCATTGAACAGCGAAAAGCATGGCCACAACTACAACCCCATTTTACCCGGCTGTAGTTGCTGCCAACAATTTCTCCTTTATCTCATCCCCACTGTTCTTCTCTTTCCTCCTCCGTCGAGTCATCTCGCTATACCCACCCATCAAGAGCGTTGGGGGACGACAGTCAATGACCCTACCCGGCACACCGTATCAAGGTGAGAGGCGTGGCTCTGAAGGCATACCATTGCTCATTAACAGCAGTAACCGTCATCAAATCCCCATCATCATATCCCCCTCATAACATAACCTCATCACACCATAACAACAACCCAGTCTCCTCCCCGCCCTCTTTATCTTCCTACTGCGCAGCAAACAAACTCATATAGACTCCCCACGCAATGCCGGCCAAATTTCCTGCCAGACTCCTCGCCGCCACCGTCTTCAACACTGCAAAGTTGACAATACTCACAAACGGCCAAAACTTCCAGCTCGCCACCAATAACCCCCAAAACTCGCGCTTCGACTCCTCCCAAACCCAGTTCCAATTAACGCTATGATACTGGATCGCGTTTCCCCTTTTGAAGCTGTCGATCAAAAACCACAGACTTTGATCGGGTGAGGCGCCGAACGAAGAGGTGGCCCGGTGCTGCATCGCGGCTTGCGTGCCGTGCATGAACATGCTGAAAAGCAACGTGTTGACGGCTGCCCCCACGGTTTGGTCGAGCAGCCATTTAATGAAGGTGTTGCCTTTGTTGAGACGCGGTTCGACGAGCGTGCCGAGAGAGGCTTCGCGGTCGAGAGCCTTTTCGTCAGAGGCGGAGGCAGAGGCGATGGCTTCGCGCGTGGGGGAGACGTGGTGGGATGGGAAGGTGGTTTCAAGGAGTTCTTGCCTTTAAGGGGGAGTGTTAGGTAAGGTCACTCATGGGTTGATGGCGCCGAGGAGAGGGAGGTTTCTCTCGTTCGGTGTTAGGTGAGGACGGAGGATATGACTGAATGATGGAATTCCCCCTTGTGGCCGTCCACACCGACAAAGGGCCAAGACTTACCACAAAAAATTGGGAGGCGTAGAGATCATACCAAAGAGGAAGAACTGGAACACTGGCACCCAGTCAATCACCAGAGGTGTCTAATCAGCAGAGTTACCAGTTGTCAGCATCAAGATCTCCAACTATGTGCATGTTGCATTACGTCATCGCTTCCACGATGAACGTGAGCCAGAATGAGTTTCACATACACCGTCTTTGTAGGCACTGATGGCCTGGGCGAGAATGTTTGATATTCCCGCAATGACTGCCGCTTGTAGCGTGGCTTTGATGATAGGCGATGGCTCGTTATCATCTTTCTTTGCGGGAGCTGCTGGCTTGGGCATTTTGCGATGAAAGAGGTTCCTGCTGTTTGATGAGTTCAGTAGGCGGATCGCTTTGAAGCTAATCGTAGGTGAATTGGAGGAGAGCGAAACGGAGTATGAGAAAACGATGAGGAGCGTGGAGGAGTGCTTGTAAAATGAGTGTATTGGCTTTTTGGAGGGGAAGGAAACGAATAGACTAAAGTGTAGCCAAGGTGACGGCGGTACAGTATAGACGGACGACTACCTGGTAGCAGCATAGCGCCAGATGCCCCACCGGTTGGGCAACACAACAGAAAACCGGATGAGATAAAAAGGCAACAAACGAACTTACCCAACCGACCACGAGAAAGAACGCAGCTCGGCCAATGATTTCCAACATGAGGGATATGATATTAAGAAACGCATCAAGATACTGAATCATGTTGGCGAGGAAAGTATGGCATCAACTCTGAAGTGAATACAGGTGTCCACGACTACAGCTCAACCCATCCTGTCGACGAGATGTCGGGGGATAGCACGCCTATTAGTATGCGAGCCAATAGCTGACGTACTCGGAGACGTATTTATCAAACGGAATCCTGTGCTCGACGATAGCGATGCCCATTTAGGTAGGTAGGCCCAGGTATTTGGTTCAATGTCACCCGCGTGAGATCTTCGGGGTTGTCTTATCTATTTCCCCCTTTCCATTACATGAATGTAGTGACACCCCGGTTATATCCGGCGTAGTACCTAACCTCGTTGGTAAGTGACCGAAACCTCTTTTGGACTATTCTACCGGTTCTCATTAGACATTTGCATACGCCCGCACCAGTCACTCATTAGCATACTAGCTGTGAATGGCCGAAGCTGTGGTGACCATATATGCCATACATCACCCGTTATACCGAGGCTTCTTCTTGTCTCTCGGCAATCATGTTTTTGTTGTTTTGTTTATACCCTCGCTAGGCTGCCCAACGTCAAACTTCATGGCCGGCTCAGAATCCACATGAAAAAGAGCTGCACGATGTAGGCGTAGAAGAAGAGGAACTGTAGCCTCTGCGATCTCTTTGCCCTACCCTCGGTGGGCATGGTTTGCATAGGACCCTGGGCGTTGTTGTTGTTCTCGGGAAGAAGAACGTATTTCAGGGAGCGCATCTGAGAAACGCAGGTTAGTCAACGATCCAATTCGGAGAAGGGAACAGCAGCAGGGCATCATACCAAGAAGAGAGCGTTCGCAAAGAAAGTGTAACCAAAGACAGTCCAGCCGATCACACCACCAGTTCCCTTGCCGCCATTCACAATCTCGGCAATAGAGATGGTGACAATAACGCCAACAAACTTGTACCCAGAGTAAGCGACGAGGTCCAAGAGCTGCGACTCGTTGGAGATGCTCAAGAGGTAGCATCCAAGCTTCAGACCCAGGATTTCAACGATAACCACCACTAGCGCGGTTGTCGCAATGTATCCGAACAGTTCCGGCTGGAACTGGCCACGTAGACCCGCGATGAGAGTTTGGAGAAAGATGTAGGTGACCAGTGACATGACCGGAATGTACATGTCGGGGCTGTTGATGTCGTCCCTGGGAGGCAGGTACCACCCTTCCTGGCCGCCCGGGCCTACTGTCTGCTTGCGGGACCAGGGCTTATGCCTCCAGGGAAACAGGACAAGATAGAGCTTGTTTATTACGTAGGAGTTGGTGACGTTAAAGTAATGCTTGAGTGCCGAGACACTGACGAAGCGGTTGACCTGTAGCGCCTCGCGTTAGCATGCGTCTCCCTCCGCGACAGGTAAGCCGTCAGCATCCTCACATTCTGCTCGAGGTATTCCTGTCCCTGCTTGAAAGCTGTCTGTCCGAACTGCGAGGCCAGCTGCGCTGCCGGGTCGTTTATAAAGTTGCCGTACTGGCCAAACATGTTTCCTGACGGTGCCCGCCCTTGCTGTTGGTAAGGGCTTCCATCATAGCCGGAGTGAGGTTGCGACGTGGGCGGCGGTGGCGATCGTAGCTGAGGAACGGTTGAGACGTGCTGCGGGACAGGGTGGTGTAAAGGGGGCGATTGCCCGTAGCCGGATCGCTGCATCTTGTCGGTTGGTGAGGCTGTATAAAGTGAAAGGGAGAGTTTGGATGTTAGTCACGGTCTTGGGACTCTTTTCGCGGGTCGATCGGTATGGAATTCGTGTTGCTAGTAAGTATCAGGTTGGTGTTGCGTGCTCGTGTTGACCGCGTTGCGTGGCTTTGCCGGGCAGGCAGCTCTGTCGGGGAGATGCGATGTGTTTCGTTGAATCTGGAGATGCTGTCATTGACCACATGCAGCAACTTGAAGTGAACACCCTCAGGGCTCAGGTAGCTTAGGTAGACCCCCATAGACCCCCGTAGACCCCCCCTTCCCCTTCCACTCCCCAGGCCGACACCAGCGCAGCCCCTGGCCGGCCGCCTTGGCACCCGACCTCACTGCACTCGATCGCCTGCCCGCCGTGCCAAGAAATAGCCTGATGACATCTTATCGGCGCTCTATCAACCAACAAAAGTCCCGATGGCCCCACCTTCCACTTGCTAGCTCCAGCGTGTTCCAGAAGCGCGGCGCCCGGCTAACCACGCCGATGCAGTGGTGGCGGCCAATATGACAGTTTGGCTTCCATTGAGTCTGAGTGGTCTTGGACTCGAAGCACTTCCGCCCCTTTTCCTGGAATATTTACTCTTCCACTTCTCCCCTCGTACTCTCTTCCTCTTTGACACAATCCGCACTCCTCCAAACGCCAATTGTCATTAGGGAGTGCTCGTTATATACCAGCTTACCACTTCGAAACGGGGCACCATCTGACGAGCCATGTTGGACACTTTCGAGATCCTGACGACGTCAGGGGTGGTGCTGTGGTCCAGGACATACGCCGCCGTCAGTCCTGCTGTAGTCAACAACTTCATATCCGACGTCTTCATCGAGGAGAAGAGCGCTGTTGCTGGTACCAAGGATGGCGCTTCTGCGTCGGCCAATCCGCCCTACAAACATGACCAACATACACTGCGTTGGTCGTTCGAGAAGGAATTGGGTATTATCTTTGTTGTATGCGCATCTCTTCTTGCCTTGTGCCCATCTCCGCCCTTCACGGCCGCTGGCTGACATCATGACTCGCAGGCGGTTTACAGATCACTCCTACATCTCTCATGGATCGACAAGCTCGTTGACAACATCCGGACCATCTTTGTGAACCTCTATGGCGACCAGCTTAAGAAGCCGAACGTCACGCTTATTCAGTGCGCCAAGTTTGATGACTATTTCGACCAGCAACTGCAAGAGCTCGAGAAAACAGGCAGTAAATCGGATTCGAAAGACGTTCGCGCATTCCAAGATGAAGCTTTGTCAGACGACCTGAGCGATATGCCTCCGCCGCTACCTGGCCTTGTCCGTGGCGGCCGTGCACCGAGCAACACCAATACAAGCAAGCAGGGCGATTCGGACTTCGATACGTCACCAAACGCATCGCGGCCCACGACTCCGGCTGTAGCAAGTCACCTTTTGGTGGCAAAGCCAGGTCCGGGAGGCAAGATGTCGAGAAGAGCGAGAAAGCTCCAGAATACCAACTCTGCGCCCGCTTCTTCAGGCGACGAAGCGTCTGTCAAACGAACCAAGGCCAAGCTTGCCAAGAAAGGCAGAAAGTGGGATGCGGACGGCCTTGCTGACGAGGAGGACGATGTTCAACTTGACTTCTCCGCCTCCAAAGCAACAAGCGATAGTGAAACCGAAGCAGGAAGGCGGCCGGCCGTTGAAGAAGTGGATGCCTCAACATGGGGTTCGACTACAAAGGGCAAGTTTGTGCTCAGGGACCTGGGCGATGAGGTCCACTCGATTCTTGCGTCTGCGGAGGCCAAGAATTCCGTATCCAGGACCGATGCCCCAACTGGTCTGGTGGGAACAGGCCTGAGTGCTATTGGAGGTCTTTTTAGGAACGTGGTGGGTGGAAAGGTCTTGACTAAGGAGGATTTGGACAAGGCCATGAAGGGCATGGAAGAGCATTTGTTGAAGAAGAACGTCGCGCGCGAGGCTGCCGTGCGCCTCTGTGAAGGGGTTGAGAAGGAGCTTCTTGGTGTCAAGACAGGAAGCTTCGAGAGTAAGTCCGGTTGTCATGCGCTTCAATATGCAATGACAGAGAGCTGACAACCTTGCACAGGTATCAATACCAAGATACAAAAAGCCATGGAAGTCTCCTTGACCAAGATGCTTACGCCCACATCCTCGCTGGACCTTCTTCGCGAGATTGACTCCATCACATCACCACCAGCCACGTCTCTGCGAAAGGCGCGGCCCTATGTCATGTCGATTGTGGGTGTCAACGGTGTCGGAAAATCGACCAACTTGTCAAAGATCTGCTTCTTCCTCCTGCAAAACAAGTACAAGGTGCTGATTGCGGCAGGTGACACCTTCCGCTCGGGTGCCGTTGAGCAGTTGGCGGTGCATGTTCGCAACCTCAAGGAACTCACCCAAAGAGAAGGCGGCAAGGTTGAATTGTACCAAAAGGGATACGGCAAGGATGCCGCTGCAGTGGCCAAGGATGCCGTCGCATTTGCTGCCCAGGAGGGCTTCGATGTGGTCTTGATCGACACAGCCGGTCGTAGGCATAACGACCAGCGGCTGATGTCTTCGCTAGAGAAGTTTGCCAAGTTTGCGCAACCTGACAAGATCTTGATGGTTGGCGAGGTAAGAAGCATTTCCATTCTGCACACTGAGTTGCTTCTGCACGTTCTGCTTCTCTGATACTGACCACGTGGCTTCGTAACAGGCACTTGTCGGTACCGACTCCGTGGCTCAGGCCAAAAACTTCAACGCCTCGTTCGGGGCTGGTCGATCTTTGGACGGGTTCATCATCTCCAAGTGCGATACAGTCGGAGACATGGTGGGCACAATTGTCAGCATTGTTCACGCCACGAACGTTCCTGTTTTATTTGTGGGAGTCGGGCAGCATTATTCGGACCTCAGGAACTTTTCTGTCAAGTGGGCAGTAGAGAAGTTGTTGAGCAGTGCATAAACTGCGTAGCCAGCCATTCTGGGGACTTGAACCAATTTGTATAGCAGATTAATTTTTGTTCCGTGTTTCTTGGAATACCTATAATGGATGACTGGTCAACCAGCCGGCAGGCAGTACTCATCGACACAGTTCATCGTAATTACCATCCCAACTTGCTCTTCGAACTTCTGTCGTTGAGAGCTACTGTGGAGAACGGTTGGCTATTGAGTGTTTGTCAAACGCCCCTGAACCCCCCCCCCCCCCCCCTTTTCAGGAGAGGCTTGGCACAAACAACTGCTGCCTTTCTCAGAAAGAAATGCTGCTTGCACGTGATCACCCGTTTAGCCCCGCCTCGCGTTGGTCCGAGTCGCGTTTTCACTTTACTACACTAGGCTGCGTCCAGGTTACATGCTGCTGCACTTACTGCCGACCCCCCCCCCCCCCCTTCATCGAGTATTCGATTCTACCTCGGTCCTACTCCTAGGTTGTTGCCGCCATCGATTTCCCCCAAAGATGTCGATTGAAGATGGCGTCCGGAGTCCATGGCAAAACAGTCAAGGGAGGCGCCCTTGAGGAGAGCTTCACTGAGGACGCCCAAATCCAGCCCGGCTCAGCACCGCCTCAGTCCACTCTAGCCGCGGAGCTTGTCGAAGGCCTCCCGAACGAATCTCGACGCACGAAACCTGACGAGGTCACCGAGATCAAGCGATTGTGTACTATTATCGAGCAGGAAAAAGACAAGGCCGGTTCGGATCTGGAAAAGACACACGAAGAACGACTTGCGTACAATCACATCCTCTTCTATGTCTGCGCCGGACCTGTTCTTGATGTCGTCAAAACCAATGACCCGTTCGCGGATTTCGCCAGCTTGCAGCTTAAGGCTCAGAACACCCTTAGTCTTCTCAAGCTTGCCGTCCAAGAGACCCCGGATGTGCTGAAGCAGACGACCGATGGGAAAGAGTTCTTGTTACGCGGCCCAGAACCTTTGTGGCTATGGTTCCAGCCTAGGTTGCTTGCTCTTCTGGGCCGTTCTAAGCTGCTTGGTATCACGTCTGCCATTGAGGACTTCTTCCACTTTACTCTGCAAACCGTTGCTGAACGTGTTTCCCTCTGGGACCTTGGCCCAGGCTTGCTTCAGTATTTTCAAGCAAGCTTGCACGGTAAGCATTAGCGACAAGCCGCAACTGGTCATGTAGTAATCGCTAATGTTAATGTAAATCGCCAGCCATACTCGAGCATTTCCAATCGAGCCCGCTCGCCGACATGAATGCACGGAACTCTACCCTCGACATCCAGCTTCCGCCGGACACGTTTCTTCGAGCCCTGGACCTCGATGACCCAGATACACCATCCAAGTTCTTCTACAAGATCCGGGATTCCGAGCATGCTATCCGCCACGCCATCAGCCTTTTTCACATTCTAAAGTACACCATTCTACCCGTGGGGGCTGCTGAACCCCCACTGCTGTACCGCGAAAACATTGCTTGGTTGATGGATGAGTTTCAGCCGCTTTTCTCTGTTTTGGTTCACTGGTCGCCACAATTAAAGATAAGTCTAGCGCCCTATGTTCAGACAGCTATTGACCTAGCAGAAGCCGCAGACGACACACTGCGCCCAAAGGCGATATCCGCGCTTGCGTTGATATGCGGCGAGGTATTTGACAGATCCGAGCAATATCTTGGCGAAGACGAGTTTGGGCTGGCTACGAGAAAGGCACTCTCCTTGGCTTTGCTCCATCTTGTCAAGGAAGCAGATAGTCACAGGTCTTTGATGCAGTTGTTCGAATCCCGAGTCGTCATCCCCGCCGTCAATTCCGCTACAGCTAGCCTTCCCAACTCGGATCTATGGGTTGGTACATCAGAAATGTCACCTTTTGGTTTGATTGGTGCTGACATCCAATTTAGAGATCAGCCATTCTCCTCCAGCAGGTAGTGTCTGCTGAGACTTCTTTTTCCCAAGTTCCTGAAGAGCTCAGTTCCAGTAAATTCGTTGACGTCACCCTTCGTCAGCAAGTCGGACTGTTGGGCCTCGATCCTGTTGTCGAGGACGGGGAACCGGCCCCTAAACGAAGGAAACTGGT